ATACAGACTGCGTCCATTAAGCACAGCGACGGTTACCTTTTCTTTTCCGTTTTTTTATTGGTCCAAAATGTCGCTAAAATCGATGCATGAAAACAATTGAAAATCAGGAGAAAATCTTAAAAATCAGCTCCCGAAATCAGGAGAATTTTCATCAAGAGAAAAGTCTAAAAATCAGGAGTCCCCTGGTCAAATCAGGAGATTTGGCAATCCTGGTAGGGACCTATGAAATCACACCGCAGGAATTCTATAGTATTCTTGATATAGGACGATAGCGAAAACCCTATAAGATTCCTATAATAGGAATCTTATGCATTTCTGACGGTCAAGATCTTTCCTACGGTCAAGATCTTGTATAGGATTTTGTAGAATTCTTATTTTTTCGTTCTGCATATACTCTTTTCTTTTTCTCTAACGTTCATTTTCAACCAGTTTTCATGCCCTCTAACATATTTTCTCGTTTTAATTTATCGTAGCAATATAGTCTTTATTGAGAGATCTCAAGATTCTCAACTACAAAAATCCAAGAAGTTTAAGCTGTTTTCTTAGTATAAGTCGACGGCTATGATATCGAACAAGGTTTCAAGAAAAACTGTGTTACACATATAATTTTAGAAATGAAAGTCACATTGCTTTTATTTTTAAAAAAGGTAAATATTCAACTAAACTTCGTAGTGCGTCATCGACATAGTAACACAGCTAACGAGAGTATAGAGGCTTAGTCTCCTCGTCCACTACAGAGTGTCGCATAGATCTAATGAGAGTTATAATCCCTGCTCGTTATAACTGGAGCATTTTAACCATATTAACAGCTTTTTTGATAAGAAAATGAATCAACGTGTGAGTTCTTGTTCTAGGAATAAACCTTTTTTTGGTGTAAACAGTGTATTTCCATAAGAACGGGTTAAAAGATTGAAAGACATTGTGCTAAGTTTGTTAGATTTTGGTAGACTCGTGGCATCGTTAAAGGTTAAATATTATGCAATATGCCTGCTGTTCTATTCAATGGATGAAAAATATTTTCCTTGTTCTAATCTTTTAACCGTAAGGTTGTTCATCTCATGATACTCATATTTCACAACTAGATGTTTGATAGCTTTCTCATATGTGAGTTTGTACTATTGCAATCGTTTACATATCTGTCATAAGAGAACTCATTCTATGCTTTCAATGTATATAGCAGAAGTTCATCGTAACATATTTTTTTGTACCTTTGTTCTTCAAACGAAGAAACGCAGAATAAAAAAACTGTCGGTCATCGTTGTGAGTATAGGTTTGTCATGATTACTGTTACAAGCATTGGAATTAATCTATTTCGATCGACGAATAGTTAATTGAAAGAAAACAACCTGAGTATAGGAAAAGAAAGAGAGAAGTAATATGTCGTTCAACTTGAAAAATCCGTTTCAATCTGTTGACCTCAAGTATGCAACATTATGTTCAATAAGTACGGCAGCAGTTTGACAATAAGAAAAAGAATAATAAAATATTAAATCAGTATTGAATAATCAGAAGAAGATGCTAGCTGTGACTTACATTAAGTAACCGGCAAACAAAATGGAGACTCTGTTCAAGAAAATATTTTCAAGAGCAATTGTCTCAGCGGATCTCCGTTCAATTAATTCCATAATATACCGTTTGTTAGTTACGTGATTGGCAGAATACTTCAAAAAATAAGACATAAAACTATTAAAAAACAATTGTCCGAGAAAAAAGAGATTTTGCCTGATTTAATCTACTTGTAGAGGATTTATGAATCTTGAGAACGTTTTAATACATTTAGCTACTATGGAAGGTGCATAGTTGTCCTACAAGAAAAGATTAAAAATATTGATTAAAAACTCTCGTTACTCTCTTCTTTTGAACTAGAAATAACTTTCACTTCGTTTTTATACATCGTCTAAAAAAAGATGTAACTTCTATTCAGCAAGATAATTAGGACACAAGGTAATAGGACAAGGTGATTCTTGAAGATTTTTGTAGTATCCTTGATTCTCGTTGATTTTTATAGTGTCCTTGGTGATAAAATTCCACTACTTTGCACATTTCTAACATCGACCAATAGAGAGTCAATGATCGTCTCAAAAAATAGGAACTACCCACTGGTTGGACGCATTCAACTAAGGAAATGGTTCGTTCTATGTGAAAAAGAATTACTTATATCATCGACTATTACGAAGCTAAATGTGAAGTCATTACGTTTCACTTAAGCAATCTTGCAGAAATTTTTTTGAATTATAGTAAGATAAAAAATAATATAAACACATCTCCTGTAATATTCAACGAACTTCTTGAGAGAAAAAAAAACGTCGTAAAAATTTCCTGCAAGTAAATATTCTACACTTGAGGTTGTTAACTATTTTTTTAAATTCTCTTTCCTCCTTCTTCCGCCAATATATTTAACAATTACAGAGAGATCGTCTCTTGAAGACTAGAGTGTATACAAACACCTGCATATATGAAAAAGAAAGATCATATCATCTGTTTTGTTTTGTTCTGATCTAAATATTGGACGACAAATATATATATAAACTTATATATATATATATTTATATATTTATTTCAATTTGTTCTCTGTGTCTGCCTGTCGATGCTTTTTTGTTCCATTTTCTTTTTTTTTTTGTTAAATATTTATATTTATGACACAATGTGATGATTAAATTCATATTTCAGGTTTTTCCCTTTTTCTTAAGCTTAAAAGAAAAAATGACATTGTATATGTGTATACCATTTTCTATGTAGTTAAAAATATAACGAAAGAAAAGCTAAAATTATTTTTTTTTCTTCTGTCAACCATCAAGTTGACAAAATCCATGCGAGTTTTTTTTTTCTTCATGTCGTTCATTTTTCAGAGAAGGAGAAAGAGAGAATTTTTTTAACAATACGAAAGAAAATGGTCTATATATCTACTGTCCTTTTTTTATTTCTAGATTTTCTATCTCTTCTATCCATATGTATATTATTATCCATGTGTGAGAGACAAAACAGACGTTATTATTCTTAAACCTCTAAAAAATTTAACTTTGTATACTTATGATTAATACAAGTATTACGTTTTTTTTTACGAAATTATCGTTGTGTGTAATATTTAGTAGATGATTAAATTATTGGACATGTTACATCTTCAAAAATGGAAGAGAATTTATTAACTGAATTAGAAAACTATAATAATCGATCATATTTAGAAAATGTAACGAACAATGAAGAACAGGTAAGTTCAATTGAAATTTCCATTTTTAATATAGAATGTCGCTCAATGTACTCGTAAAACCCTTCACACATTAGAAGACCATTTCTGACACATTTCTGTAAAATTCATATTAGAAGGCCATGACTGACCGCGCTAATTTTTAGACAAGTTTTTCAACATTTGACTTCTAAAAGACCTTCAGATTATGCATGTTTCTGAAACTTTATTGGCTCTCAGAATTTTCGCAGCAGAAAGTGGTATTTGAAATGGAGAGTATGATCCGTATGGTTTGCAGTCTACACGGTTTCTTAGTCTCAACACCGAACGTAGGATAATGTAATTGATTTCTTCATCGTGCGCAACTACATTATGTTCAAATCGATAGAAACTAGATACGAACTTTACTTGCCCTCATAATTGGTCTTGATATACCGGGATGTCTGCAGCTCAGAGAAGAAGAAGAAAGATTCGAAGGGAAAGAATATTCAACAGCTTGATTTTCTGTATAACAGGCTTTCATATAGTGGTATTGAGATAGCAAAGATTCAAAACTTCAAAACAATCAAAAAGCTCAGTCTACCACTGACGATACATAAAATGTTAAGTGATTGAAAAACCAGTGTGAAATGAACAAAATCGTTATTTTAAGACTTTTATCAGTTATAAAAATCTTTTAAAAAATTTTTTCTGTTATAAAGTCGAATTAGAGGATTATCCCTAACAGAAGGTCATCCTAAAGTTTGATCTGCTGGAACGCGCTAGAAGGTCGTTCTATTCTGGAGAGGGGAGAAGGGTACGTCAAACAAAATCAAAGATCATAATCAAACTGGTTATTTTAATTGCAGTTGTTTTGATAATTTCTAGGTATGTCTTCTAGAGTTTTTCGAATTGCGCTAATTTTTCTAAGAGTTATTTATCTCTTTTTTTTGAAATTATTGACTGTCGCAATAATATGATGTGATTTTCTCCATCGTATAACTTTCTTATGATGTGAAAACAACCAACTGTTTTATCATTTTTACATAACCACATACTATTTTTCTTCCTTGGTTCATAAAATATATTATAGGTGTAAAACATATTTTTAATTTTTTGACTATTTTTTAACATTTTCGACGTACGAATAATATCGATCAATGAAATAATGATCCATAAATTATCGTCAAGTTCGAGTAAAACTTTCTTTTGTTTAATTATTAACTTTGACTAATTACATATGCGTTGCTTTATCTGACAAAAATCTCTAAGGATTCTATACATGACAAATAAAACCTAATAGTGTATTAGTTGAATGAAATTAAAAAAAGCACGTTTTCTATGTTAAATAATTATTGATCTATTTTTAGAAAGATATAATAATCAAAAAAGTATGAAGAGTTAATATAAAAAATATTCTGAATTAGAACTGTTCGACATTTTCATGTTTTCAGATTATTACATGTTTGTTTTTTGTTTAACGTCTATTTGCACATTCTCTAAATGGTAAAATTATCTCTTTTTTAATTTGAATTAGCGATTTTTTTCTAATTGATTTGTCTAATATTCTGCAAATATGTAAAAAGCATTTCAGAGTTCTTATCAATATTTATTTTCGACGTTTTGACCACTAAATCAATAATAAAAGAAAGAAAAAACATACTTAAATTAGCCTTGGGCCTCGTTGACAAATTCGCTAATACTGTTTACTTCATGATAGGTCGTACATGTGTGCATTGATAAAAAAAAAAAATTATTCTACGCTAGGGTAATCATTCGAATGCCAAAAAAAAAACCGATTGTTTATTAGTAACATCAGATTTTCCTTTTTCTCTGAATGAGAAACTTTGTCAAACAAATTAGAACTATTTTTATATTGTACTTATTTAATTGAATGACTTATTATGTTTAGAATGATTCTATCCTTCGTCAACAATTAGCGGTTAAAGATCGTCAATTAATATTAGCAGCAAAATGTGGCAAAGTATTATTAGAGCAAAAGGAAGAATTAGAAAGACAAAACGAGCAATTATCAAAAGAATACGACCAAAAAATTGAGGTAGATCAACACAGATACACATACACATAACAAGTATATTTATTATCTTTTTTCTTATTTTAGCATCTTGAACAAGAACGATATGAATTAAAGATTCACGTTGAACAATTGCGTACAGAATATGAAAATAAAATTGCAGAATTATACGATGATGTATCGCTATTAAGACAAGAATTGAATATAAATCGACGTGATATACGACAAAGTGATGAAAGAAATGCATGCATTCTAAATGAACTTAATGAACAAAATCAAAAATTATCAAATGACTTACAAAAAGTATTATAAATTTTGCTCTATTTTTCTTTTGATAGTCTAATTTATAATTTATTCTATTAAGAGTAAAACATCAGAAAATCGACTTCAAGATCAATTAAAAATTGCACGAAATCAATCGGATGCACGATGTCAAGCTGTCAATGAACATATGCAAGATTTAACAAAAATAAAACAACAAGTATAAACAAAATTTAAAAAGAATCTTTCAACAATGTTACAAAGAAAAAGAATTTTTCTCATAATTTTATTTAGATGGATGATTTATCTAATCATTATTGTGAATTAGAACGCCATTGTCGACATATTCGTGAAGAACGTGATATATTATCAAATCGCTTAGAAGAATCTGATAGAACAATTGAAGTATTAGAAGAAGATTGTCGAAACAATGAAGAATCTGTAAATATTTTATACAATATTGATGATAAACTCGATATACGATATTTTTTCACGTTTTTTTGATGTATTTAGAAACTTCTACAACAGAAAGAAATGGCGGACATGCAGGCACTGAATGCAGAATTAATAAAAAGATTAGATGGTCTTCGATTTAATCAATCATCGTTTATGCAAGAAATTGAAGATTATGCTGTATGTAGAGTTTACACATAGATATAGTCTAAATTTAACCCTAATCCGTCCACATGGGATTCTGTGCGGACCCTAGACGAAAACGAGTGCTCTTAAGATATGTCGTACTGCTCTGCCAGATAAATATTGAGTGAATACAATCAGTTCATATTGATAGTACACCCTATTGTCATTCAATGGAATATAAAGTGAAGTGGTGAAATCGAACCGTTGTGTTCAGACAGTATCGCAAATGGAACCGGTAGAATTTGGGCATATTATAGGTGGTCGGATCAGGGTTAAGCTTTACGAGTGATAAGAATAGAGTAGGCAGTCTTCATTAATTTAAAACACTTGAAATTTTCTCCCAAGTCATTGTATATATTTTTGCTTAGATATGTGCAACACGTGCAAACTCTACGATTGATTACATGGACGATTTTGAATGTGATGAGTTGTTATCACTTGAACACGATCATAATCTATTGTTAAGTGATGATTCAAACGATAATTATAGCAATGAAAAATGTCTTCTAGATGAATTATTGCAAACAGAAGAGGTAAACAAATCAATTTTAAAAGCTATATAATTCTACTCTGCTGTTTTCATTTATTTATTTGTTTCTAGTTCAAACGTGAAATTGTTTACGTCTATAAACAACTACGTTCTTTATGTTTTGAATTAGTCAGTCATTATTCGTTATCATCAACAATAAGCGATACGGCTGATAAAGTGTACGATCGACTACAAAATGGATGTCTCATTGGAGTTTTGTACGAATTAAAAAATTTAATCAAAGATATCGTTGAAAGAGAGGTATAAGATCTCTAATAATTTCAATAAATAAGTTCTAACATGACGTAGTTGATCGAATATAATTTGCATAGTTGAAACGTCCGTTTTTCAATTTGTTTTGTTTCTAGAAAGAAGCTACAAATCAATTAACTGAAATTACTCATGAATTAGACGATTTTAAAAATCAAAAAGAAATAGCTGGTATATCTTCAGCTTCTACTGATACAACCAGTTATTGTTCAGCGGTAGAAACAGCTCAACAAGTAAGAAAGAATGTATAACAAAAGTTAAGTATATACATAAGCCTCTATTCTCTCTGATTTAGATAAATTCATCCTCTCAAAGTTCTACTTCCACTACTACTCATGCATAAATACTTCTGTCTATATTTTATGTATGTATGAGTCTAAAAAAATTTGTATATATGTAATCTTTTATTTTTATTAACTTTTTCTTTGAAATTATTTTTTTTCATTGTTCATGATTTTGTTGCATAAAACCTTTCTTTTTTCCCTATTTTCAATAATTGTGTGTGTGTGCGTTAGTGAAACGATTTTTCCTCTTTGTTTCATAAATGAATATGAATGTGACATTTTTCTTGTTGTGTCAAACCAGTTTTAGAGTAAAAATAATATAATTGAAGAAATTTGATACAGAAAAACCACATCATTACACGAAGGAAGAAATGATACTTTGTTCATGACTAATGTCTTCTCCTCTTTTGTTCTATTATTACTTCTAGTGATAAACTATAAGTGTCATTGACTTTATAATTATTTCGACAATAGCGTATTGAGGCAAGCTGAAATGGGTTGGACCAGTATCAAGGGTTATGATTAAAAAAAGATTAGAAAGAAAATCAAACAATAGTAATTTTACATGACCTGTATAGAACTCGTCTATTCTCATCGTAAACTACGCTGCTTATTATGCACATTTATTTTTCCTGTTATTTGCAAAAAAATCATTACATTTCATATGAGTCTATCGCTAAACTCGTCAGCGCCCATAAATAATCCAGTTTCAACGTTATGATACCGTGAGTGTCGCATAATTGTTTTGTAATCACTAGCAATTGGTCGCATCGAGATTATAGTAAGCGATACTTTATGAAAAAATAGATAATAATGACCTTTTTGACTCAGGAAATCTTTTTGAAAAGGAAAAAAATTCAGTTTGAATAAGCGGCTCTCTCAGGGCCTAGATATAAGTGTTTACTAATTATTAAAGTAATTTCTGGTTCTTCGCTTCGTAATTTAAGTTCAGAAATTCCCGCAGAAAAACAACTCCATTTTGCTTAAGGATTTGCCGAAAACTTTATAAAAATTAGAGATACAAACGCGAAGTCTATATCACAATCCCACCTTATCATGTCCAACATTTCTTGAAAAGTTCGTCAATAACGAATGTAATATTAGTAGTATTTCAGAGGGGAGGGGGCGCCTTACGGTAACATTGTTATTCTAATATGCTTAACATCTTTACACTACGAAGAACGCAAAGTAATTAATAATTCTCTAATATTAATCGAAAATGTGTGAAACGAGAGTAGAGTGTTAATATAAGAAAAAAAATAAGAACTTACAATTGTCTATCGAACAAAGATAAAGCAACAACACCCGTCTTTATTAATGAAAATAGTACTGTTTGTGTGGGAACTTTTCTTTGAACACATCTATGAAAAGATGAAATATTTTTTGGAATATGAATACTCCAAAGAGTGTCGCTAGAAAATGAAATGATAACTGATGCGGGAAGTGTACCAACTGTTAAATTCAATTTTGAATAAGATATAGTCTAGTTTGTGGTGCTTGTTCTGCTGAGTATGAATATGGCAATCTTTTTTTCTCCATACGGCTTTGTTCAGAAGTTACAAGGATTTTAAGATATAACCAAGTCATTCTATTTATGCAATGAATATGTCATGTCTCTTCTTCACTAGCATTCTTTTTGATTTTCTAATTAGATTCGCCAGAGTTCGTTCTCTCTATTAATACGTAAAATGTTGCGTAATTATTGAATACAGAGCCAAAACTAATTATTCAACTTTATGGATACTTCAGCACACCACTTCAAAGTTTCTCGTTAACGCTTTGTGGACTTTTGATGAAATTTGCAGATAATAACGGCTTGGATTAACTATACTTATATTAGAAATATGGTTAAATTTGTTCACTAAGCGTAATTATATCATCAAAAATTAGAAAACTATACTTTTGTTCAAAAGTATTTCAGAAATTCTTTCGGAAACTAGGCTTTTTATACTTTTTTTTTCTAGGCTTCTTACAAGTACGATATATAATAGTCTAAATATCCTACATTGTGGTGTACTGAACTCGCTCTTATGTTTTTGGAATCAATTGTAAACTTTTTAACATTAGGTGCAAACAACCTGGAAAGCTCAGTCTTTGTAAAACTCGGTTGTCACCAGGCTTTTGAACTTTTCCCCAAAATAAACATTGCCACTAGGTTCAGTGCGATTGATTTCGTATGTTTCATGCAGCTTAAAGATTACCCCAAGTTACCGGGTACGAGTCCTGGGACTTCAATGAAATCCGATACCACAACCGAGCCGCTGAAAATCAAGATCTTGCATGACTCCCATTTTGAATAAAATTCCCACGGCTATATTGCGGGTTTGGAGAACTAGACTGGTTTTTCAAAGATTCTATGACAAATCTACTTTGGAAAAAGATTTTCAAAATAACTTTCATGATGAAAAGGTGCACTCAGGTTTGGACTTTCAATCGGTGAAAGTCTTTGCCACTTTCCTGTCAAATGTTATTCAAAAAACTTCCAAAGCTATTCTTTTTTTTTACCGACAATATATCTTTAGCGTCAGAACATCAATAACTGTTGTAACCTCCCTCTTCTCGTATCCAGAATGCCCCCTTTCTAATAAAACATTTTCAGCTATAAGAATTCTTAAGACTTTTGGGTATAATATCAGACATATGAGGAATCTCCCAAAAGCTGTAGAACTATAGTTTATATTATTTTACATATTTCTTTTAAGCCTTACTGTTGAATTTTCGACTGTGTTTGCAACACTGACAGTTCAATAGACAAATCTTAAATCCACACAGACAGGTCATTTGGAACAGCAAAGTAGAAGCTAAACTTTTCCACCATGCGACCTCTCACTTAAACAGACGATGAAAAATCCTGAAAAGACACTACATAATTTAACAACAAAACTGGTATCACGCAGCTAAAACAGGATAACCATTAAATATATTCTTTTCAATGATCTCTCTTTCACTAACATGTTGAAGATATGAACATACGTCGACGTTATACACACCATCCATGATAAAACTGTGACTCTTAGGCATGCTTTTAAAATTACAAAATTGCTATATATTGGACACTGTGCCCATCAGCATTTAGCTAATAGAAGGTCGAAAGTATACTCAACTTATTTGTAGTGTAATACGACACTATGAGTACTGTAGCTAGCTTTGCTCTTATCTGATATTTCAAAAACCACTACTGGGGAAAAAAAATAGCTATAACGCTGTCATTTCTTAGTCAAATAAGTACCTTCTTTTTCTGTTTGGCAGAAAAATATTTCGAATTTTAGATTTAATTTTAAAAATAAATGCTATATTCCTCAGAGTTTAGAATAGATGTTATGATATTAGTGGCGAAATTTGAGTGCGTGACATTGATTCATCGTTATTTACAAGCCAAAAGTGCGTCATATATTCCGACACATAAAACAATTAGAACAGTTTATGATAAATTACTCCAAACTGGCTCGACCGTAGGCGCTAATTGTTCAGGAAGACCATCAACTCACCTCAGACAAAGTTCTTTATGTTGCCGATCATTTTGACTCTCGAGCAACGTCATATAGATTCAATTTTCACCATTTAACTTCCCTGTCGAAAAAGTCAATTTTTGCGAGAAACATCGATCTTGAGATTCATACATGGTTAGATAGTTCAAAGTATTTCTTTTCAGATTCTATAGCGCTATCTGCCTCAAAGATAATTTTTCACGATTTCATAGGAAGTTTTTTGCCAACCTCGAAAAATGGAATATTCGAGTTCTAGTTTTTCCTATGATTCTTATGTAATTAAACTATTTTCTAAGCACGTGCTCCCTAAAAAATTTTCGTATCCTACAGAACCAGAAAAGGGCATCTCTATGCCGGGATACCCTTTTTGCAATCTGAGTGATAAATCTAGATATCCTCTTTTTTTTATTCTTTGGAATTAGAAATACTTTAAAAGGAATCCTACAAAACCAAAAAGGTACTCTAAAATATTAAAATGCTATTATAAAATGCGGTTAAGGACATTTCTAACTCTACAGAACCAAAAAAAGCGGGTATCTACATTTGTTACGCAGAGATTTCAAAAAGGATATTCGCCATAGAAATATCCTTTTTTGGTTTTGTAGGGTAAGGAATTTTTTAGAAAGGAGATTTGCTGAGGAGCCTTTCTGATCAAAATAAGGCACCGCACAACTCTGTGTGACATTCTGTTAAAAAGTTATACACATTTTCCTACAAGTCTTAAAATACATTAAGAAACGGATGACGTTTGTCATGTTTTTTAGTTTCAGCTGCCTCTTCACCAAAGGTTTCTTCGCCATTTCGATTGCAAAAAAAGCTCGTGGTGGCCTTATAATGTAGCTCAGACTTGGTGCTACAAAGTAACAAAGCCGGATCTTCTATTTTCGATCTATTTTTGAGATACCTTTTAAAAAATCCGGCTTTGTTACTTTGCAGCACCAAGTCTGAGCTACATGATGAGGCCACCGCGAGCTTTTTCTGCAATCCGAATGGCGAAGGAATCATTGGCGCATGAACACCTACTTTTTGACCTTTATTTTTAGGGTAACTCCGGGACAACTCATCGTTTCGAGCTCAAAACTTGACTGTCATCCTTGTAGGATAAGATACACATCCTATAGAAAATTTATCAGGATCGGATGTTCGGATGTTAAAACACTGGGTAATATCGATGAGGATGGAGATCAGTTCTAAGTATGTCCTCTAGCACGTTGTTGTTGTCTTTTTTTGTTGTGCAAAGAATCAGTTACGCTCTGATAAAAAGAAGAAAAAGAATGAAAGTGGAAAACAATGTATGCTGTGGCCGACATCGGAGTTAAAGCTTAGTTGACTGAGACTGGAGTGGGACTGAAAATTTTTAGCTCATCGCAGACTGGAACTGAAACATTTTAACTGCATAGCGAGCTGGGACTGAACAAATACCGGGCCAGCCCATCTCTAAGTTGTATCATTTGCTCGTAAAGTTGCGCTTTTGTCCATGTCAACTTCAGGCTCTTCGGTTTGCTTCACCAGATTTTCTAGGGATCAACCATTTTATGAACCGCGGAATCTGGAGTTGAATCTGCCATAAATCCAAAAGTATGATGTGATAGTCTGACATGAGTATTGATCATTAACATATGAGCGCCACAATCTCGAGAGGTATTGGACGAGAAAATCGATCTTCAAAACTGACAATTTTTTATATTCTACCCTCTTTTCAGCTCATCTGTACAACAGCTAAGGATCCTGTACGAAATGAATTCATAGTTTATAGTAGAGGTGTACTCATACAATAGATAATGATATTCAATGACATAACATCTTTGTCAGGAAAAAAAAATTACGCGAAAGTCTTTGCGGTTGCAAAATTCATGTTATGTGCATACGGTCGCACACAAGCAACATTTATTTTTTCCATGCTCGTGGCTATAGATAGTACTCGCCGTCGATTACTCATGATCTAAATAGGAGCTTCTAATCTATTTCCTAGCCCGAGATATAAGCAACACAAATTTCACTTTTATACAGTTATCATTTTAGAGTGTTTTTAGGGCTTTTGCGAAAAATTCGATAATTTTTGAAGGGAGTAAGTCACGGTAAACAAATGTTGAGCATCTTTCTAAATATGTTCCCGCTACCTACTGTGAAAGTTTGGTCACAAAGACCGAAGATCAATTGAGCAACTTAGATCGTCCCTACCGTGCAATGGCTCTTAAATAGACAAAATGACTTTGATTTCAATACTCAACGCTAGCTTTCCGCCAGATTAAACGTACATTTATCCTCTGCACATGACATAACATCTTTGTCAGGACAAAAAATTTACGCGAAAGTCTTTGCGGTTGCAAAATTCATGGTTTTTTTGTTTTTTTGACTTTCCGTTTGTATGTTGTTAAGCCCGTAGGCTGTTACAAAAAAGAGAGACATTTTACAGTTAGGCTGAAGCAAATTTAAATTCAACATCTCTAAACAGACTTTTTTATAGTCTACATAACTTTTTTATAGTCTACATAAAGTACCAAGGACGGTACGTTCGTACTTAAATTATTTTTAATGACTTGATACATAGACAACACTCGAGTAGGAATCAAGCAATTAGGGCGAAAGCCAGGTTGCTCGGAAGATAAAATATGGTTTTCCTCAGCCCAGACTTTGATTCTGTGTAGAAGCACTTTTTCATAGATTTTCGAGTGTGTCGATAAAAGCGAAATTGGCCTAGTGTCTTCACAAGTAGGTATGCCTGCTCCACTCGATTAGCGCCGCATTAAAATCCCAGTAATAACAGTGTTGTTTTGTGATATAGGGCTTAAGGTCATCCAGATCTCTTTTTTGACCCCGGGGCCAATAAATGCCTATTATCCTTACATCTTCCGTTAGTCCCTCAGCATGCACGATCACAGTGTTTGGGATATGACCAGTAATCTTTGTTCCTTTTAGATGTTTACCTAAAACCAGACAAACTCCACCATTCTTGTTTGTGTCTTCCCGATAAAAAAGATTATGACCTGTCAGGTAGAAGTCTTTCCACTCTCCTGTTTCAGAGCAGAAACAGAAGGACGAGTCGGTTATATTAATTAATTCAAGGTCTTCTAATCCTCTGTTCATAAGTCCCTGAACATTATAAGAAACAAAATTCAGAGGGATCTGGTGAATACACGAGTTTAACGAAGAGTCATAACTTCTACAGTATGTCAAAATGCTTTCAAGAGTGGTACTAGAATACCATTCAGACAGAATGTCTATCACGCTAACACAATCTTTTTTGCTAAAACGCCAACATTTCATTTTTGTGGGGCTTCTAGGTTCAAATGCATTAGGTATTTGACACTTCACTGAACGATTTAGATCTGTTCGTATTGGTAACTCTAGTTCGCTGATTATTTCCACCGACCAAAGTATCTGGTAAACTAACATTATGAAAGTCGTAATCGTTACTTGTTTGATCATTAAATTTTACCATAAAAGCCCTGGATATCACTAAGATTAGCTTTAATAACCCATCTAATTGCTTTTTACATTCTTCTATTTTCTGCTGTTTGACTAAGTCATCACCCGCTATTGGCACCACGATGCATTTCATAATTGTATCCAAAAGGGTGACAATCGCTGGAAAAAAGCCATTCAATACTTTGTCCATTTCGTTAATCCTAAGTTCAATATTGGCCTGATGTGTTCGTATTAACTGGTGAACGTCATCAGTATTTTGATCGTCCATTACTTGATTATTTCGGTTAATTTTCCATCCTGAAGTTGTTGGTTTGTAAATTTCATTTAGAGATGGATAATCATTTGAATTTCTTGACGGGACTGTACGAAAAGATCCTGTACGAAATGAATTCATAGTTTATAGTAGAGGTGTACTCATACAATAGATAATGATATTCAATGACATAACATCTTTGTCAGGAAAAAAAAATTACGCGAAAGTCTTTGCGGTTGCAAAATTCATGTTATGTGCATACGGTCGCACACAAGCAACATTTATTTTTTCCATGCTCGTGGCTATAGATAGTACTCGCCGTCGATTACTCATGATCTAAATAGGAGCTTCTAATCTATTTCCTAGCCCGAGATATAAGCAACACAAATTTCACTTTTATACAGTTATCATTTTAGAGTGTTTTTAGGGCTTTTGCGAAAAATTCGATAATTTTTGAAGGGAGTAAGTCACGGTAAACAAATGTTGAGCATCTTTCTAAATATGTTCCCGCTACCTACTGTGAAAGTTTGGTCACAAAGACCGAAGATCAATTGAGCAACTTAGATCGTCCCTACCGTGCAATGGCTCTTAAATAGACAAAATGACTTTGATTTCAATACTCAACGCTAGCTTTCCGCCAGATTAAACGTACATTTATCCTCTGCAAGTTGGTTGCAAACTATTCTAGTTGTAAATGAACGCTATATCGACCGATAATCAGCCACTTCACTGTCCAATTGTTCTCTAACAATCAGAATTAGTTGGAATCAGACTAAATGAATCTAGCTGGATTCAAGCAACTTAATACATTGGCGGCGGTGTAGGTCACCGGTAGCCTACACTACTCTGGAACAGTATCCTCATCCTGTAACTCAAGAACCATGATAGCTAAACATGTCTAATTTAATTTCACTCACTCACTGCTGATCACCCATCTAATTTAAGTCTCGGCTACTGGACGGTTCATGATGAATAAGCGTTCCATTTTTTTCCATAAAATGCTATTAACTCTTGATTCAAGAAATGAAAACTTTTTTTTTACCAAAATGTAGCCCTGGCTCTCTTCTATCTACATTATGAATTTTCTTTGCTGGCTCCTAATGGTTACTAAAAGCGGCTCTTTCACGATCGAGGATCACTTTTGTAATATGAGGTTCTTTCTGAAAAAATTCATAACTCAGCCTGGGAACATCATTTTGACACATATGTGGAGTCGCGAACCTGAGGAACTAAGGGTCGACGCATACGCATACATTAGGAATACTACACGGTACTCTAGAACATTGAATTCCGAGGCGAAAAACTATCGAAATCCCTATCCAACTACTCTCCTCAAAAAGGATAAAAATAAATGTATGTATGTATGTAGTGATTGTAAGCAAAAATTCCAGAAAGTCTTGGCTATCGTATGGTGAAAATCGGTATTCTCGAGTTATTCAAAAATGGCAGAGTTTGCTACATTTTGTGTCCAAACTTAAGCTTAAGAAGCACTTTTTTTGTGGTGAAAAACTGAAAACTAGGTAAAAAATGTGTTTTTGCCGGTTTTTCATTATGAAGATATTTTCCAAAATCGAGCCTAGAAGATGAAATATAGTAACTTGAATTTTCTAAATTTTATCTGCTACGCTCAGCTTTGTATAATAATCAAGTATACCGTGAAACACCGGTGGGTTACATCGGTGCCAATGAGGTAAATATATCTTTATTCTAGATGTAAGCTCCCGCTTCACGATTTTTCTTTCTTCTTGAGATGAAACAAGCAGAAGATAAGTTATCATCATCGATGCCAAACTCATCTAGTATTCGTGATCTATCCATCAAATGTCTTCCATGTCCGTCATATGCCCATATTTATTAAGAAAATAATTTAATTCACTTTTCTATATCTATATATATATTAGTAGTAAAAACATCACTTTATTGTTGATTGATACATTTATTTATTCTTTATGTTAATCTAATCCAATAATGACAATGTTGCGTGTGACCGGATTTGCTTTGAGCGATTATATTACATTCAAATATTTTACATTATTATTCAAAACCATATAGATATGCGAAGAGAAGAGAAGATAGAAAAGAATTATGATTGGTCAAGAGAAAAGGAGAAAACAATTTATTGGACAAAAGTCCACGCTACATGGGAATTTGGAGATGAGCGTTTTGCTTAGTATATGGTTAGCTTCTCAAGCAAAACCAATATTATTGCTATACTTTTGGTTTTCTACATTCATCGAAATTCGTACACTCATTGTATTATACGAAGAGTCTAATGGATTATCAACTCATTAATAAATGTTGATTATTGTAGTACTACGCATAGCAGGTGAAAAAATAAAACATAGATACTTTTATTAACACGGAAATAGTTGTTAGAAGCAATAAAAAAGAAATTCAACAATGTCACACAAAACATTTCCGTACAGTAAAATCAAAATGGAAACAAATGAATAAAAGGAAAAGACAATTTTTTTTTTCTGTAGATAAAAAATTTGTCTCCCTTTTTCCTTCTCAAACTTAAGTAGAATGTATAATAAGATCAACAATTGTGAACATATATATACACACAAATTAAATTTATTATAGTCAGTAAGTTGACTAGTTGATGAGAGAATTGAGTCAAATAGATAAATTAATTGCGGTTAGTTAATTTACCCTTTTTTATATGTTTGTTTCAACTGATTCAATTGGTATATAATGCAATACTAGAAATGACCAGTTTTATTCATATTTAATAAATTAAATTGAATTAAATCTAATGAATAGAATTATTGTTAAATAATGTACAATAACGGAAAAATCAAGTTTGAACAAGATAAACATAGAGGTAAGTGAGGTAGAAGATGAAATAACATGTTTTCACATGGAAGAGTGTATTATTTGACAGTACAATGCAGAAACGAGTTTGATTGAGCTAATGGTAAAGTGCTAGAAAGTTACGAGAAGAAATAGCAAGCACTAGGTATACACTAGTTTCGATTTTGAAACCGAAAAACCGCCTTACTGATCGATTCTTACAAAAGAATCTGATAAGAAACTTATAAGAATCCGGTACGACTTGTATAAAAATCTTATTAGATTCTTATTGAATTCTTACTGAAGAAGTCCGCACGAACGTGACAAGAATTTGATAAAAAGTAGATAAGGATCAGCTAAGAATCCGACAAGAAAAGAGCAAGCACTGATAATAACTTCCAATGTTTCTTTTCCTTCTTTCGTTAGCTGTATAGTTCATTAGTGAGTGTGTAAACGGTCACGAGGCATTTTCAAAACGGCCAGTCTTACCTACCTTGAAGAAACTTTGAAAAATTTTTCAAGAAATCAGTGGTGCTGTGCTTCTGCAAAATAAAACGGTGATTGGCTTTTAGTAAGAATTTCGTAAGAATTTCATAAGAAAGTGATAAGAAAGTGACAGAAGCGTCTTATCAAAGTCATAGCTCATTCTTATTTAAATCTTATCTGATTCTTATGATACCGTCTCGATTGAGAACAATTTGAAACTGTACATTCTTGAAGGAGAACAATATTTTATAATCTATCTCAAAGGAGAACATATTCAGCTGCTGCACTCTCGAATGAGAACAATTTATAAACTTATTATTAAAGGAGAACATTTTCAAACAGTACACTCTCGAAGGAGAACAAATAGCCACTGCAATAGATGCTAACAAGTAGTGATTTTGTGATTGTAAGAATATAAACAAAATACATATTCAAACTTCTGTATCCGAAACTTCGTTGTTTGAAAGACCATCTGACAAACTGTACATGATTCCATAACATGGTTTTCTAGCAACATTAAAATACTCTTGAAAATCTATACATTCACGCAAATATTGATACCTAGAATGAATTATTTCGTTTTCAACAACAGAAAAGAAGCAATACTAACCAGACAACTTACTCAGTACAACGCCACGTTTCAGTGAACGTTCAACTTTACGCGTACGAAGGCGATAACGATACGTTTTACACAATAACGACTTATAACTATCTTTGCTGGTATCTTCAGTAGCAAATGGTAAAGGCAATTTTTTGTTTCTCGGTAATGCTTTGCAAAGTTCATCACTTTTATAAGGTTGAACGTTCACCATGTTGATCGTCTTGGTATTCTTCAATCTTTTGAACTGCCTTATGGTGATCTAAACAGTTCCTTCGGCATTATTCTTTCTCCAGTTCAGAATTTTAAGAAGCTACTTAATTAACTTATGCTTTAATCTGTTATCTTCCAATTTACAACTGTTCGCCTTTGAGAATATATATGACAAAAATGTTCTCCTTTAACAGTGGACGGTTTACAAATGTTCTCACTTGAGAAATTATTAAGAAAATTGCTCTCATTCGAGAGGTCACCATTCTTATCGGATTCGTACGAAAACCTTGCCGTTTTCGTGCGGACTTATAAACTTATTATTAAAGGAGAACATTTTCAAACAGTACACTCTCGAAGGAGAACAAATAGCCACTGCAATAGATGCTAACAAGTAGTGATTTTGTGATTGTAAGAATATAAACAAAATACATATNTCAGAATTTTAAGAAGCTACTTAATTAACTTATGCTTTAATCTGTTATCTTCCAATTTACAACTGTTCGCCTTTGAGAATATATATGACAAAAATGTTCTCCTTTAACAGTGGACGGTTTACAAATGTTCTCACTTGAGAAATTATTAAGAAAATTGCTCTCATTCGAGAGGTCACCATTCTTATCGGATTCGTACGAAAACCTTGCCGTTTTCGTGCGGACTTATATAAGAATCCGATAAGACTCAGATAAGATTCTTACCAGATATAACGAAAAATGTTTGTCTAGATCGACACCGAAGAAACCAACATCGGAAAGATCCTAAAAGTTTTCTGTTTAAGGTTTTAAAATGATATAAAGAGTTAGCAAATGACATATATTTGCTATTGTCGAAGAACATCTAATTTTATCTTAGAGAACTGATAAATTCCAGCGTTTCTTTATATTTCGTCAAATAGTACCATCTATGATAATTTCTTGAATGTGACAATGTTCGGTTTCTTCGGTGTCGATTATCGCATAGCAAGCACGAATAAGAATTATTTGCATTAAATTTGGAGAAAAAGACGATAATTTTAATTTAAATTCGATGTCATAAAAAATGTCGTCGATGTCATTCTTACATTTATTAGCGTTACTTTTTTAAATTGAATAACCCGAAACTTTTTTTCATCACAAAAGAATACGCTGGAATCAATAAGAGCGATGACAATTACAAATATTTGAGTCCACCATATGGATACTAATTTAGTCTACCTTTTTATATTAAAAGTGTGAGAAAAAACAAAAATAGCTCAAGTGTCATTTAAGGATCAATGTGTATGAATAGAACGAACACTCTTCTGCTATTTGCTGATTTGATTTGACACATTATATCATCTATTGAAAATATTGAATGAAATAAATTTTTTGTAGAAAATAGACGAACAAAGAAAGAATCTTAAGACAAAGAAAGGAGAGGCGACATTTCTACAATAGATGACCATCTGAAAATCTTTATTAAAAGCACAACTTTTCTCTTGTAAAGATGATTCTCCTGTTTTCTATACATAGCGAAAGGAGCAGTATAATTTGATCTAAAAACTATCACTTTCAAGAAACTTCTCATATCCGATATTGAATGGAAATTATAGTCTTATTTATACTAGCGTATGGCAATCAGTGCTTTAATACCTTTTACTATTTATTGATAGTTTGTTTAGATGGAAAAACTTATAACCATCGTGATGAAAGTAATGAAACTTCATCAACATCGCATGAGAATCGTCAATCAACAATGTCCATCGATTCATGTCTTGATGAAAAAAACTTATCGTTAAAAGCAAAACGTCATCGAACAAGATTTACTCCAGTTCAATTGAATGAACTTGAACGAAGTTTTGCTAAAACACATTATCCTGATATATTTAACAGAGAAGAATTAGCAATAAGAATCGGTTTAATAGAATCACGTGTACAAGTAAGCATTAGAGATATGTTATGTTTGTTCTATAAGAATATTTCTTAGGTTTGGTTTCAAAATCGTCGAGCTAAATGGAAAAAACGAAAAAAAACTACAAATGTATTTCGACAATCTTCATTAATGTCGTCGTATCGTCTGTCTTCATCTACGGATACTTTTAATCCATTTTCAACATCATCAACACCATCGAGATGGACAAATACCAATTCGTTGTCACAATTTACAAATCCGTTTCATCCACAAAATTTTGTCACACGAAACGAATGCCAAAGACATAATCTCTCATCTCAGGTAGAACACACTGTACTTAGAGCATACCAAAAGTATGGGCAGTGACACTTTAATACCGTATAGTAGGCTTGAAGTAACTTTCGTCTATATAATCTGATAGAGAAAAAAAGCACTGTCTTTCTATGCTATTTGATCGTACGTCAACTAATATCATAACATTAAATTATCTTTAAAACCTATTTCGGCTGGTTATGTGCCGGTTGTATTCATACTAATTTTGAAAAAATACGAGCTAGTATTTTTTGAATAACTTTTGATAAAAGCAAGATTAAATGCTGCGGTTTTCACCGTTGGAAAGAGGAGATGAAGACGCATCGAATCATATATTATAGGTTTTCTTGATCTGTTCCTTGTAAGGTTTTCAATTGGCCTTTTTAAGAACAAACATATTTGATAAGTTGTTTACAGTGAATTTTCAATTGTCAAGTGTAAATTCAACCCGCTAATCGAAGATCTACAAAGTGCGGAAGGTTGAGATGAATAATAAGCATTTTAGTCGAGCTTCTAATAGAATTTTCTAGCAAAATCTGTGAAAAAAGCTCACTTTTGTGCTTTTTTCTTATTTCATAAAAAAACATTTTTCCGACACTTAGAAAATTGAATAAAAATACTTCAGAAATCAATATTAGAAAAGCCTATAATATATGATTCGACACAGTTTCATTTCCTCTTTCCAACGGTGAACACCGCAGCCCTCTACCTTGTTTCTATCAAAAGTTATTCAAAAAATACTCACTAGCATTCATGGAACCGTGACACATGCGAACAAAACAGATTTTATCAAAATTTTATTATTCTTATATTAGTTGAAGTATGACCAAATAGCACAGAAAAATAGAGCATTCTTTTCTCTATCAGACTGCATAGAAAGAAAATTTCTTGAAGCTTAATATACAATATTAAAGTGTCACTGTCCGTACTTTTGGTATGCTCTAAGTATTATTCGAATGATATACATATTAACTGCATTATTTTCAGAAAATTCTTTTGCTTTGCTTCATGCATTGATTCACTTCTTATTGCATTCTTTTAGCTGAATCAATCTCCTTCAAATTTTCATGGTAGTCAATATCAAATGTCAATTTTTCCTCCAACAACATCGTTATCAACTCCACAAACTGGTACATTTGAATTAAGTCCATCGTCTCCTTCGCACTATCTATCAAATTTTCCATGTATAATGTCTACAGAAGACTATGTGGATGCAGATGATATGTGGCGAGGATCAAGTATTCTAGCTTTAAGGCGAAAAGCCGTTGAACATCAAGCAAATGTTGCTACATATCGATGACATATTGTGATTTTGACGTTTAAAAGTAATATTTTGCTAAAGCAGATAAATCAAGATTAAACACTAATACGATTTATTTTTTCTAAATAGAGATCGAAATAAAATCTATTATATAGTAGTCAAAAGTAAAATTATTGAAAAACACAAAATCGATTCGGTTTTACACGACTTTTTTTGAAGGATTTATAAAAATGAAAGTTTGAAAAACACATTTTTTTATGCCATTCTGCTTTAAAAAAGACTTTCGTTTTCGGTTCAATTCTGTTTTGAAAAAACAGGAACCGATTCCACCTCAACTACAAAAGTAAAATCTTAGTCTGTATAATAGTCTGGAGTTTTGCAGTCGGTTCGATGTTTGCAGTGTTTTGTGTTTGATACAAAAAAAATACACACTGAGTTTTAGGGATATGAAGATCGAACGAGAAAGCCATTCCATAAGATGAGGTTTTTTTATTTTGCTCTATTTCATCCTGAGAGGTGCATTGAGTCAACCAGAAATAGATTTGAACATAATCTTGTAATGGTCTGTAACGGTAAAGAAAACATCTTTTGCTATTTGACCGCATTATGAATTGAGTATAAGTGTATGAACCGTTCGGCTTCGATATTTTTTGATTCTTGTCCTAAATACTGCATACAAGATTACTAATATCCGTTAAAGTTTGAGTTTGTTTACCTAAACCGTTACTGAAATATAGACGAAACCAATTATCATAGAGGGATGCGCTGCCTATCAAAACTGTGAAAAACTTTACTGTAACGGGTGCATGGGCGAGCCGATAAAGAATTTTTAGGGGGCAATAAATTTTATAGAGTAGTGCATACACAAACGTGCTTTCCTTCATAATTTTTGTTCGTGCTAACTAGGGGTGGCACATTACTGTTACTTATATGAGTAATCCAAATATTGTAAATATTCCTGTTACCAGTAACAGCAATACTTTTCAGTTTTACTGTTGTCGGTAATAGGAATGTTCTAAAAATTTGTACCAGCAAGAATAAAACTGAAAAGTATTACTGTTAGTGATAACAGGAATATTTACAATATTTGGATTACTCGTAAAAGTAACAGTAATGTGGCACCCCTAGTGCTAACACACTTTTCCTTCGTTTAAAGTGTACATCAGATTTTTCGTTCGAGAATTGCTCCTTCTTTATTTTGAACGTCGGACAGATACTCTGTACGAAATATAATGCTTTACAGAGCGATAAGCAGTTTATTGCCCTTGATATTTTTTTCCAGAAGGGGCAATTGTGCCCAACTGGTGACCCGTCAATATATGGGTGATCCAGAAAATAATAAATCTCTTAGTATTTTGCTTATAACGTTTTCATCTTTTATTTTAGAAACTTCGTTTTCTTTTTAAAAGATGAGCCATTTCATTCTTTAAAAAACACATATTGAACATCTTTTTTATATACCGTAAAAATAAGAAAATATGGAGCTAACTTCAGTCTCTATTACTTTTCAAGTACAAAACAACACAAAATAAATTTATTTTGAGCACGCGGTGCTATGCATCAACGTGGAATCAAAGGGTATGTTCTTATGCTCCGAAATGTGATCAACTTATAGAAGAAGAGAAGACCTATTTCTTTAAAATAAAACAAACCCTACCTCAAAATATTTGATTTTGGCTGGGCTATAAGAAATTTCCTAAGTGCTGCAAAACTGAAGTTTGAAAATGATAAACTTTGGAAAAATCGAGAAAAAGAAAAGGCATTCTCTCCCAGCCGCTTGTGATTATGAAGAATTTTAAATTTAACCAGTTGATAGAGATGCGCTAGAAAATGAATGCCTTCTCATCTTTTATATCGTAGCATAGAAAGGAGTAACAGTGAAAACAATGTTTTTCAGGTTGAAAAGTAATAGAGATTGAAGTTTTGTAGTGTTTCTTCCATATTTTATTATTTTTTACAGTACAGGCGAAAACGTTATAAGCAAACCCTGTCAGAGCAGCTCCCATTCGGGCTAAAATTGTGAAACTTCTATACTCTTCATTTAATAATTTAACTGTGCATACCTCATAAAAAATAAATTAATCTTTATTTTTCATTATATAGAACTCTGATTTATTTTATAATCTTTATTAGTCGATTGCATAACATTTTCGTTTAGTTATAATAAATTTAAAATAAATACTGATGCCATGTAAGATAAATACTAATTCCAGTTAAGTTGAGTACTGGTGCTCTTTACGATGAATACTAGACCTACCCTATAGGGTGGGACAGGTTAAAAAAACACCGAAAACCACAGGATTTCGAGTATATAACTTCAACTCCTATATATAGAGTTGCACAAAAATGCTGAGATGTTCATTATTTTTTAGATCATCCGCTACAGTAAAGTTTTTCACAGTTCAATACGGTAAAAGTGCGTATTCGCAGAATGTTGAAGTAGGCAGAATACTATGCGTACCTACTTCTAATTGTCTGTTTACCAAATCGAATGACATCAAAAAATCTTTTTATGCTGTACATCTTAATACTTGGTCGTAGCATAAAGCAAAATTGAAGGGAAGATAGGAGTCGAGATGTGTAGAACCAAAGATCTGCAAAGCTTTTGAATAACAAGTTAATTAGCAGTATTAGGGACAAGTGTTGTTCGGACAAATGTAACAAATAACAGGAAGTTTTTAACTGATTCCCTTCCCTTCCTGTCAAAGACATTGTGCTCTACTTATTCGAAATGTTGAGTTACCCATTGCAGCACTTTTTGAAGAAATGTGCCATTTTTTTTGATTTATTATTTTTTTTCATGGAAAAATCAATTTAAATCGATTTTTTTTGCAAAAAACCTATTTAAATTTACTTTTTTAAAAATCTAATAGAAAAGTCTGTTTAAATTAATTTTTAAGAAGATTCATTTAAATCCATTCTGCGTAACTTTTTGTGTGAAAAATCTATTTAAGTGCATTTTATCTTTGATTTGGAGAAAAAAGAAATTCATATTAATCTTTTACAAGAACCAAAATCAGATCCATTGAGAAAGAGATGAATTTAAATAGATTTTTTTCATAAGAAAATCAATTTTTTACGTTTAACATTTTTAATATCAAAAAAATCAATTTAAATTGATTTTCCTATGAAAAAAAATAAATCAGGAAAAAATGGCACATTTCTTCAAAAAGTGCCGCAATGGGAGCATGACTACCTACTAAAAAGTTTTTGTTTAAAAAATCTCATATAAACGCGTTTTTACAAAATAAAACTGTTTTTGAACGACCATGTTTCTGTTTTCGATCGAATGTATTATTAAAAGACGAATTGTTCCGTTGAAAAGCTTCACTTATTTGAACCGTGAGCAGCTAATATTGATGGTGCAACAGATCATGATGTGCTCATATATCTTGACCCGATCTTTGTTCAAATGATTATTCACAAAGCGTGGGATGTTACTCACTCAGCAATCATGACGCTTCTAGAACAGGAGAATTAAAGAACATAGGCTGACACTAATATTGTAAATAAGCAAACATGTCGATCGGTAAAAGATGCAAATACAACGTAGGTTTTTGTAGAGCTATAGTAAAACATGAAGATACCCACAAACATCTATAGACACTTACAGACGTCTATACACAGCACACAGACATCCACAGATAACCACTGACAGCTACACAGACAGCATAGAGACACCCACAGACAACCAAAAATAACTACACAGACATCCACTTCTGTGTCGTTCCCATGTCCGTAGTAGTAATTGTCTGTGTAGTTATTTTTGGTTGTCTGTGGGTGTCTCAATGCTGTCTGTATAGCCGTCAGTGGCTATCTGTGGATGTCTGTGTGCTGTGTGTAGGTGTCTGCAAGTGTCTGTGGATGTTTGTGGGTGTCTTCATGTTTTACTATTACCTGTTTCTTGTATACCTTGATGTACAAGTGTTGAAATCACTGAGCTATTTCTCAATTCTTCATCGAACCGTTAATACTTGTATTAAAATTAGCATCTTTTTGATCTATCCGTCAAAAAAGGGATGTAATTGATTGTGCTCTTCAAAACAAACATATGGCAATATACTTCGATAAAAAAAGGTTTTATGATGTATTAGAAAACTTTTATTTAGCATGATGAGCAAGTGAGACATCGCGATACAGTTATTCTGTACATAGACACCTAGAAAGAAGTATGATATTGCTTTATTTGTACACTGAAATCTCAATCACATTGCTCATTAGTTGAGTTGTCCAAAACATTCTTCGGAAGGTACTGTTTTCTATTATTGAATTTATAGATGCACTGCTTATTGTCTTATTGCAACCATTTTCAAGAATATACAAAAATACTGTACAGGAAAATTAAACAATGTTAAACAATGGAAAAAATTCGCTCCTAAAAAATCACTGGACAGCACAAACACATCCGCTTTTCTCCTTAAAAATCTTCCACCTGAATACTTTAACCTTATCACTATACTTTTTAATCGGTGTGCCGAAAAGGGAGCTTTTTTTGAGAGAGCTAAGTGTGCACGGGGTATATGTTTGTCCAAGGACGGTTTGTACCCAGCGGAGGATCGATTACGATCCATTTCCCTCTTACCAAACCTTGGAAAGTGGTTTGAAAGAATCATAGTTGAGCGGATTGAAACATGGTGTAGTGAAAACGGAATTCATACTGATGAACAATCCGGTTTTACAGCCCATCGTCGCCTTCAAACCCGAATACTCTCTATAGTTGAAGATTTAAGATTGACAATTGCAGCGTGTAATCACTCAGCATTGGCAATTTTTATTGATTTTCAGACTGCTTTTGACAGGATGTGGTATCTTGCGGTGATGAAAACCTTGGAAGATCTGGGAATGCGGGCTGATCTAAGACGATGGATCTTCGGATGGTTGCAAAACCGTTCGATGACTATTAGCCACGGTGAAGCAGAGTCCAGAATCTTTCAGGTGAATGTCGGAGCACCGCAGGGATCCGTTTTGGCTGCATTACTGTTCAGACTGCACATATACTTTTTGCCCTCGTATTTCCCTCAAATAGTGTCTCACCTCTA